TCTACAAGGTCTAGCCTATAACAATTAGTTGTTAGAGAGAGCTCCTAGCAGAGCCGAGCACGCAGCTACACGCGCCTACCACGCTACTAAAAAGGCAAGCACAAGACAACAAAGCTCCGTATTGTCTGCGTAACTAATACTTAAGCTTACGTTTAGAGTGTACGGACCCGCACTAAAATATATATATATAAGCTTAACACTAGAAGTCTTATATCACTTACACTCGAGCTATACTCTTAACAGGTCCTTGTTCGATAACATCAAATTCAATACAATTACCTAATACCCAACCAACCGCTCCACTAAGCACAGCCCTTACAGAGACCTAACCTCGAGAGTTTGGATTAACAGTTGATAATTAAGTATCCTAACGCCTATTCCGTGGCGCCTGGAGCTCGCACAATCCGCCGCTTGGGTCGTACATAGCGCAAAAGGTGGATCTTCGTAAAAGTTAGAAAGAGAGTTTCCTCTTATAATTCTTGCTATAAACTTACGTAGTTGGGTTAGGATCAGCGGTGTAGCAATTGCCTACTTCTGGGTTCGGCGTGTCACAAGTAGTAAATACAGCAGCGTACATAGTTTGGTTGTTCCTTGATTGCAATTTCTAATCGTGGTTAGCATACATAACATTCGCATCACATAAGAAAACACTTACGAAAAGTTGAGCGTCCGGACCAGGTACAAAACCATTCACGCACGTCTTAGGGAATTCCTCTTTGCTAACAGGAACACCATTTCCATTGCCGAAGCCGTCCTGGTCTTCCGCAAACTCATAGCGGCTTAGGCCACTGCCATCAGGGCAAACAAAATTGTCACTGGTACTCCAGGTGGGGAAAAAATAGCAGCCTCCGGCCCCATTGCATACATTGAAGTTCCAACCACCTGCTACTAGTACAGGAAAAGCAGTGGCGAAAAGAGCGATGAGAAGATTGGCGTGCATCTTGAGTGAGATACTATGCGATTATGTGGCGAGAGGTAATTGTTGAGAGATGTAGAAGGGGAGATGATAACTACTTCACTTGTGCGAACTGGGTCCTCTTATAGCAACTCTACTGTAAGCGTAGTACAAGAGACCTAAAATGAATACAATAAGCAAATGCATGTAATCGCGGAGATCTAACCTTAAGTAATCTGCGTTTAATTAACACTTATGCTACATATACGTGGAAGTTATGCTATTCTTGATGTTTATATTACCATCATGTTTATACTTTATCTCTTTCCTAAAATAGTCTTTTACTTTCAATGTGCATAATTTAAAACATAATACCTAGCGCTGATAATGGAAGGTGTAGTCTGTAAAGGCCCGACAATGAGGGCTTTAAAATGCGCACAGACTTATAGTAGCGTTATAGTATACCGATGCACGGACTACCTTACTGCGTATGATACTGTTGCCGAGAACTTCCAGCTGTAATAACCTTACCCGCCTCCGCAACGTTCGTAAATAAACTCTATTTAGTTCTTCTTTTACCCCGCGTTTTCTCTGTAAAAGCGCCTTTATAAATTAAGGCAAATAATGCTTAGTTGCTATAATAACTAGAAATATAGGCGAAAGCAGTTACGATAATAATTAGAGCGTGATAACGGGTCTCTGGTAATAACAATTGTTGAGAATGAGTGGTGCGGGATATTTAGGCATTAACGTTGTGGATAAGCGAGTGCCGCAGGCAAGCGAGCGGTCAGGCACCACCAGCCACTTTAGACTCATTTTGGTGCACCTCGCAAATCTACGGTGGGGCCGCATTCTATATTCTTGCATGTGCTACGCTTGATTTAGCCTCGTATTGTTACACAAGAGGGACATGCTGCACATGTCTACACCCTATCCCAAGTGCTCGATATATGAAGAGCCGATGCCGACCCTACCCTTTTGCAACTTTGTAACTACTGGGCCTCTTACGCTGCGCGCAAGCAGCAAACTCTACAATGATGGATGCCCAGCAGGGCGTTAATACGCATTATGCAATCTTGATAGGTATCGGCGCTTATCCAAACAGGCCTCTGAAGGGCTGTGTAAGAGATGTCAGAAAGATTAAAGAATGCTTCGAGAGCAAATTACCCTGAGTTGACATCCAGACTCTGGTGACAAGCCGCGACGATATATCACTCAAATATCTTGACACCTAGCCAACTTTTCGCAATTACATTGCGACTTTTAAGATAGTCACCTTCCAGGCACGGCCTGGATATTTCATCTATGTTCACTATTCAGGCCACGGTACTCGATTCGATCCATGTCATGAGCTACCCAACCAGTCCACAGAAGATTTGGCCTTGGCTCTCTTGGATAAGGATGGCAGCAAGGAAATAAACCTACCTGCGCCGTGACAAGCTGGCCTACTTCAGCTTATGGTCGAGAAGGGATTGATAATCACGGTCGTTCTAGATTGCTGCTTCTCGGCGAGCGTTTATCGCAATACATTCATGATTCTAATCTTCGATATTTGACCTGTAGCCACTTTGGTTTTTTAGCACAACCATCCATTTCAAAATACAACTACACACCTATACACACTCATTCCGCAAACCGCGATGCTTCCATGCGGGAAAATTGGATCTTCAATCCAGACCGATACACCATACTCGCGGCGTGTGGGCCACACGAAAATTCAAAGGGTGAGTGTCACAGGCGACAATGGGGATCGTTACGGGGCTTTGTCGTACTTGCTATTTAAAGCCTTGTCCGAATGCGGGCTTGAAAGGCAGCTTAAAGACGTCCATTGTTATATTTTGTACAAATTTCGGGAAGTTCATCAGCTGCAAAATCCCGCTGTGCACGGAAACAAGAGTCAGCCGTTATTTGACCAAATGGACTATAACCATATTGTGAGATCCACCAGTATCTTTGATCATAAAGGAAGCTTTCGACTCCTAGCCGGTCACGCTCACAGCATCCGTATCGGTATATAGATGGATACAAAGCACTTATAAGAGCACGAACGCACTTTTGAAGTTAAAGTGTGACAAACAAAGCACTTTTGAGACTAGGTTGACACACTTCTGAGGTTGTATGCATTAACTAGCGCATGGGCCAGTTTTCAAGCACCTCAGCTGTCGAAGTAACTAACCTAATATATATATGATATCTGTTAGTCGATCAAATAGTTATTAACTGGTTAATCGATTCTCACGGTCTTTTGTCGCACTTGTTACACGGGTTTAGGCTATATTTCTCTGTTCTCGGTACGCGCTAAGGCGAGTGAGATGAGGGCGGTAGTCCTTGAGATTGCTATCTAGAGAAATAGTAGAAAAGACTCATAGATAGTCATAGCTAGTTAAACAAACTATCAATTCTTTACCATCATAGGATAACGAATAATAATCTAAGAGTTAATAACTTATTGAAAATTACAATTTAACTTATATCCAGTATACGAATAGAATTCAACGTATTCTTATACTTTGTACTTCTAGTCCTACTATCAGAAAACTTGCTGCTAATACTAATCGTTAAACATTTTCTGATGGTTCTACTATTACAGATAGTGCTTGTTGTAGATCGAAACTAGGCAGCTAATCTCAGGTCTCCGACAGAATCCAGGTGCTCAATTACACCCGGATTCTATCATTATTCTACCACCGACTGTGATACAAGACTGTGATACAAGACTGTGATGATATATCAGGTAGCCCACCTAATTTGACAGATTAGGGTTGGGTTATTGTTGTTAAGATATAGATAGAGATTAGATCGGAATTGCTCATATAAGACCCTTACCTAACCTTAAACACTACCTATTTGCTAGCCTTGGCGTGAGGCGAAGAAAGCGTGGGCTGAGGAACTGGCTGTAGCTTGGGAGCTTAAAAAGCGACAGCGCGATACTCCAACCGCACAAAGATTCCACGATACACTTAATAAACCTAGGTGAAATGCCTCATACTGTGCTGCAAAAACTCGGACAAAACGTCGCCGTGTTGTGGCTGCTAGAAGTCGGGACAATGGCTGCACCTGCGCCATTGCCTCCGCCGCGCAAAAGCATTGATCACGGTTGATGCGCCTACCTAACAACTACTCTGAATAGCTAGAAAGCCTCGCAAGCCTCTATGTATGTATCAATCCACCAAAAAATCTCGCGATATCCGCTTTCGTGGGTGGCTACACAGCCTGTTGTAGTATAGAGGTTTTCTTAACTCCGTAAATCTGTGCGACTTAGATATAATGTATTTTACCAATTTTGGTGAACGGGCATTCTGCTAGCTGGGGGGGCGCAGTGGTGATTGCCAGCTTGATGCAAAATCCCTGGAAGTTGATTGCTCAGTCGGAAACCTTGGCACTGCCCACACTACAGCCCATTGCGAAGCTTTCGGCCAGGCTTCTCAACCAGAGAGATGGGTGGCAAACAGCGATCAAGCTATATGATGTCATTGATGCCGCCTCTGCTCTTTCGTTGTACGGGACGCTTTAGGGGGACACTGGCACCGTTCCGCGGACGCTCAAAAAAAAGCATACCTCAGGCGAAGGCTTGGATTCCTCTGTGGCGGCCATTTAGTACAAAGTCCAAGCCTATCCCTGTGCAGCACTTAACTTATACCTGGTACGCTCTTATGATAGCCGAGGTGGCTACGACCATTCATACTACCCCCACCCCGTGTCGCGTGTTTACCTTGGGTAATACCATGGCTATTGTCCGCATTGCATTATTCCGAGCTTACTACAAGCAAAGATTACGCTGAAAAGAGCACAATCAAGTCGCCGACTCCGCCATTTCAAAATCAGTCTGAGTGCCTACTGCAATTCTGCTACACAGCTTCAATTTTCAGTGGGGGATACGACTAGTTCGGAGTGGAGACATATCTTCTTCCAGCATTCGCATTCCTATCTCCTGCGCTCTGAGCACGCGATGCAAAGCTGGAAGAAGATATATCTCCACTCCGGGCCTTGATTCAACGATAATAGTGTCCCAGGCAAAATAGCTCGCAACAAGCATAGGAAAGCTTACCTATGCGGATCGGGTTCTAGAGGCGTCTGACTCGGTCATTGGTGTAGACTTAGTCCCTTACTACTTCCCGAATGAAAGCAGAATGACTCGTCCGCGATCGCGAGGGTGTGGCTTCCAGGACCTAGATCCTGTTCGCTAGTTCTATATGCTGAGGCAAACCAAAATGCTTTGGGCATCACGGAAAAATTATATATCAAAGCACCAGTTTATGACCGCTTTCTAGATGGCGTTAAAGCGCACAGCATCTAACGCACATGAGTCCATTGAGGCCAGCGTTCGAAAGGGTGTGCAGTCATGTGCCCGAGTCAGCCAAGGAGATTGCGTGGCGCCTAGGCAATTCCGTGTGGCGTTAACATTCCGCTCACCCTGACGCCACTGGTGGTCTTACGTAGCGTCTCCAAGCGCATGATTCTGTTTTTATTGGCTGCACCCCGTGCAAGGAATTTGGCTGGGGCAAAGCAACCACATAGCGCAGGCCAATGTAGAGGGCATATCCAACGAGCCGCATGGAAAACAATATAAGGTTTGTACCTGCCCTTTTTATCGTAATGATATTCGGGCGTGTAGATCGATTCATGGTCCACGAAGCTAGCACCATGCAAGTTTCACGAGCTAAGCTAGGGGGTAAATGATGCTGCCCGGCATACAAGCGTCCCCATGATACCAGCCTTCAAGAACCCACAATCTCGCGGGTAGCCGTAGGGGACTCCATAGCACAAATGCTGGCAGATGTGAACGAGAACTATGCCTGGAGGGTGATAGTGGTGGCCACAGTTTGTTTGGTAACCTCGGTCGTAATGGTGGGTTTACGAGGCTATGTTCGACGCAAGATCCTCAGGAATTTGGGCCTCGACGATTGGTTTCTGTTAACAGGGCTGGTATAGTTCCTCAACCTTTGATAGATGCTATTCACTAACAAATCTAGGTTGTTTATATTGTATGCATTGGTCTGTGTTTAGGTTGTAAGTATATAGATACACGGTCGCTTTCAACATTA